AGACTATTAACACCAAAAAATTTAACACTTTTGAATTTGCTGTGTATGCATAGTATGCAAACGGCTACTAAACAGACATCATAATTCGTCATACAATGAGAACAGGACAAATCAACAATTAACACTGTCTAATTAATATTATATTATTGTATATATTGTTTGGAGTTTAGTCTGTTACTGTAACTATTTTTACCATTTCTTCTTGGAGGAACTGTAACCCACATAATTAAGAAAGTATTCTGAAAGTTTTAGGATACATGACCTGCCATTATCCAATGACACATCTGCTTACCTGTATACTTTGCTCGTTTCTCCTTGTAGGAGCCATAATTAAATGTATTGAATTTTAATGATCACTGGGTTTTCATTTGTTTGGTTGCTATGGTGATGTAACGGGAGTCACGTGGGTGGTAGCGGTGACATTAAGAGGGCGTTGTCAGTCTGTCTTTCACTGGTTTGATTTTGACAGAGAGGAGGGCTGGGTAGCCGTAGTTTTTGTTGACCGCAGCACAACGAGTTTCCCCTTGTTGCATTACAGCCTGTGATGTTTTAAGAGTTTGAATCGCGAGCCGATAACATTGCTCTGTAAACTTTTCAAGCACTTTAATAAACAAGCAAGCAATTCATCCTCTCGCATTATTGCGTAAAGTTGACAGCGCGTCAGGCAAATAGGCAGGCTTCATCCCCGGCCTCTAGCGACTGTGGAAGTCGCTACACTCCTCTCCTTTTCTCTTTTTTTTTAAACTTTAAAAATGGGTTGTGTGTCAGACTTTAAAATCAACAAAATATAAAATATACATTTTAAATTGTTATTGATCCCTTTACCCCGAGTCCTAAAGTGTATATTAATCTTTTACTCTTAAATATTTATTGTTCGTTTACTTGCACTGCTGTAACTGGAGTCTCATCGTCTCGTGTCTCTATATACTGGACTGTATGTAGCGGAGATGACAATAAAGTTTACTTTGACTTCAGCAGCGAGCAGGCGCACCGAGGGCTCTCGCGCTCACTTTTCG